TGTAGGAAAAATAAGAGTAAAAAATACACAATTCACATGATAAAATACGTAAATAAGAAAAAATGAAAAAATAAGCAGTAGGAATATATTCATGTCCCAGAAATGTTTACTGAAGGCGACGAAGATCGTATTTTATTCTCGAGTGTCAAGACGTAGAAATTTCTTCTTATTCGGCTTCTGATAAGCAATCTAGGGGGGGAGAACAGTGTAGTAGAAGGTGGGGGAGGGGGCTAAGAAAATCTTGTCCGCGCTAACAGCAGCGAATGAGAGGTGAGGTCAGTGACGTTACAAGATGGAGCAGCGGGTGTAAACCGCAAAATCGATTAAGCGTGAATGAGTCAATTTTGGTTACTGTAGTTATGTGGGTAGAATGTCACAGAAATAATATTTATTGAGTTCGACTCTATTCGAACTAACGATCTCTTCTAAAATGGTAGAGTCAGCTCGGCTGCAGTCCGCTAGTCAGTAAGTGCGATGATATAAGTAAATAGCTGGAGTGCTTGCAAGGCGAAATCATGTTTATCATTCTCGTTGTTGATATTGGTGAATTTATTATAAAGCTCTTTTAATTTGAAGATGAGAGATTTAAAATGTCGGTATTTCTTATACGGGAAGCCATATCTTGTTTCGGATTCTCTTTTGGAGTCTTCAGAGCATCGGCGTCATTTTTTGAAGTATTTTCAGTAACAGTTGAAGGTTGATCGATAAATTTAGGAAAATCATGTTGAAGGGATAGCGGTTCCTGTTTAATGAAGTGCTTTTTGTTGCTAGGGTGTTCAGCACAATCAGTACTTGCAGCGGCGTGAGATCCGGCCCATAGAACACACTTCGCAGGGATTTCTTTATTTCCTTTGATAGGGCATGAATAAGAGTGACGATTTTCTGCGCATCTTACGCAAACAGGAATGTTGTAGCAGGCATGCTGAGTATGACCATACCGCTGACATAGGAAACATTGAATCGGTCCCGGTCTGCTTTTGTGCCCAACAATTTTTTTGATTCTCATGTCAGCAATATGCGGGATGTTGAAGAGGCTTTTCTCATTTTTGTGGGTTTCGATATAGAAAATAAGCAGCAGCGTGGAAACTCCGTCTCGCATACGTTGGATTTGATGACACTTTAGGACTTCGATGCTTTCAATATCGCTTTTAATTTCCTCGATCGGAGTATCAGCAGTCAGCCCTTTAATTGCAGCTATTACATTCTTGTCACTGTTTAACAGGAACGTATGAAATGGGATCTTTTCCGCTTCCAGTTTGTCTTGAACATTCCAAGTTAACAAATTTTTATATTCCAAGTAGGAAAAAGGCGATAAAGTTTCATTTCCAGGGCTGAATATTAATTCCATGTGTATTATAGACTTTAAATGTGGCTATAATTCAAATTCAAAATAATAAGTTACAATGTGAATATTCTTCTCTATAGTTCAAATATAATTCAATCTTTTGTACCTTGTTAAGAGAGTAAGTTCAAATGTAGTAGTGTTTATAAAGTTCTGCGGTAAATGGTGGAAACATATTAAGAATCCGAGTGACGTTTTCACATGAAGGAAAAATCAAGGTTCGGTGTATGTTTGGTGATTTAAGTGGGATGTGTGCAAGAAAATACAAAATATTTTTGTAAAATATTTCAAAGAGTTAGCAAAATTTATATTAGTAGTATAAATGAATCTTATTGAATAAAAGGGAGTGTTCTGAATATATACGTATAAATGTCTGTAGAGTAAAATAATAAGAAATGAGGTACTATTGGTACGTAGCTAAACTTAACTGGGTAGAAATGTCCCATGCATTGGTTTGAAGTGGACTTTCATGAACCATAAAAATTTATTACTCCCTTATAAGATTTGTTCAAAGTCAGTAGTAGTTCTTACAATAAACGAAATTTGTATAATTTTTTGTAAATAAGTTTTTGTGGTAAAAAGAATTCAGAAATACAGCATGAATATGGTTTCAAAAGTAAGATAAAAGCTAAATATAAGAGTAAATGTGTAAATGGAAAGTGTAAAAAATTACATTTGTCGGGACATAGTTTGGTGAATCCTTTTGAATAATAGGTAAAGACGTGTAAAAGAGAATTTCGCGAATGTTTATTATAGTTCGGCCAAAAACATCTAGTATACAGTCATTTAGTAATTAATACAATACATTAGCAGAGAAAGTTCTGGGTATCTCCAGCTTAGGAGTATAAAAAGTAAGAAATGTAGCATTCCAGTTAAACTATATAGAATGAACATTGTGCGTATTGCTTTAAAGTTACAGAAAATATTATCTGTGTTATATGCATGTAAATTCCAGCTTAAAATTTCGAAGACAGAGAAATGTAGGTAAGTTTACTTTTAGAGAAATGGAAATGTGACATCATATTGTATTTAAAATAAGGGAAAAAAGTTAAGGGTAAAATAAAAATGTAACAAGGAAAAAAAAATAAAGGAAAGCAAAAAATTAAAATTTACTTTTGGAAGTAAAATACATAAGGGAAAAAATAAAAACAAAAAAACTGCATTTGTGTAAACTAAAAACTGAAAAAAAAAATTAAATTTATGAAAATAAATATTACTTTTGTAAAAAAAAAGTTAAAAAATGTAGTAGCAACTTTTTTTAAAAATAAAAAACGAAAAGGAAAAAAATAAATGTTACTCTTGTAAAACCAAAAAAGAAAGTTAAATGTAAAAAACAAAATAATAATAAAATAAATAAATAAATAAATAATAAAGTAAAAAGGGAAGAGAATTAATAACTTTGAAAAAGGAAAAACTTTTTCAAAATAAAAGGTGAAAAGAAAAATTTAAATTCGTAAAAAAAAACATTACTTTTGTTAAACCCAAAAAGAAAGTTAAATATAAAAAATTAAAGTAAAAATACGAAAAGGATTAAATATGAAAAAAAAAAAAAAAAAACTTGCAAAATAAAAAGTAAAAAGAAAATGTAAATTCCACTTTTGTAGAAATGAACGTCAATTTGCGAAAATTAGAAATAAAATTTATATTTGAATAAAGAAAACATATTAAATGAAAAATTAATAAATTAACTTTACGAAGAAGAAGAAAAAAGAAAACAAATAAAAATATCCCAATAAAAAATAAAAAAGAGAAATTTAAAATGCGGGGGAAATCTTACATTTAAAACAGCAATGAATAAAGTAATTATTTAGAAGCCAAAAGAAATCCTAGCTGTCGTGTAAAATCAAATGTGTGACGCGGTTTTCATGTCGCATGCGCAGACTTTCAGCCTCATGACATCAATGGTGCAAATAAATCAAAGGAACAAAGAGGGTTTCAAATAACAAGATTCAAGAGATAAAGCATAGCCTTGTGGTTAAACCTGAGGCTCCTATACACAAGGAGGTTCTCCTTGCCTATACAAGAGAAGGCGGGTTCGATTCCCGTTCTTGGGTTTATTTTTAAAATTCAGGGAAAATAATATTAAATTCAATAAAAATTAATCAATGGTAATAATTAAAATAATGACATACTAAATAATTAAAATACTAATTAAAAAGAGTAAATAATTAATGTTAATCACGTGTTAAAAAATAAAAACTGACGTCATTCCAAACACGGATTTAAGAGCTCGTTGGCATAAACATAAAAATTGTTTGTTACCACACAAAATAAAAACTTTGAAAAATAGGTGCGTTGAGACAGAATAAAAACGAAACTTTGATGACGTCATCCCATCCATCTACGTCACTTCCGGTAGGCGTGTGATCCAAGATGGCGGGACCACGCCCCTTTTCTGTGACGTTACTTCCGTCCGCCGAGTACCTAACAACCTACTACTAACAGGTAGAGATTATCGCGGCAGTGAAAAAAGATACATACATTGGCAAAACACTGTTAATAGTAGACTTCGAATTTTATAGAACTGCATTATGAATATGCCTTGCACTGAAAAGTACAACATGTATTTTTTATGGCTTCACATTATTTAGGCACCATCTTCTAGAACCTTAAAGACAAAAGGCTGACTTATTATCCGGTCATTCCTTCTAAGTAGAGTAACACCCCCTTGGATTAAAGTTTAAAATAAACCATTTATTTTCATGTCAGCCTGACGGTTACGCAAAACTGATAACAATAACACGAAATCAGTCCTCCGCTGCTTGCGGGAAAACGTAGAATAAAAATTCCAAAAAATAAAGTAAAATACTCTTAAGAAATATTTGGCTCGATCCTTAAAATTTCACAAAACATTTGCGACTAGCGGAGCTAAAGCAGGTAATCAAATCAGCAGTAAGAAGCTATCGCAGAGTAACTTGTCAGCGATAACTTCCAAAGACTCTCTCTCGAACTAAAATACCTTTGCGCTTTACATATCTAAATTTGGATCCTGCTGAGAACTGACGAAAGTAGAAGTAAAGGCTAAATAATAATATAAGAGGTTAATTAGCATAAAACCCCTCAACCTAATCATCTAACTTGTATTTAAGGAATTAATAAATTATTTAAGGCTAGACGTTATATCTGTATATTGGCCCTAATATGAGTTGCGTATGAAAAATTAAATTATAATTTTATAATCAAATGAACGTGGTAAATTTTGTTATTAATATGTATCTTTCAAGAAGAGTAGCCATAAACTAAAAATAAGGCGAATTGTTGGTTCAGTTTTTATTTGCGTTATTCTGCTTTCAAATAAAAGAATTTTATCATCATTATAACATTGCATCAATCTTTTTTTTCCTTTCGAAGTTCAATTAACTTCTCTTGAAATCATTTGACAGTTATAATCTGACGGGAGGGCTGGAAATCAGAAGAAAAAGCTTTGTTTCTCTCTAAAAAAATAAATGCAACGCAGAGAAGTTTAAAATCTATATATCTTACCAGTTTTAAATTCATATAAATACGTACCAAGTTGCGTCTCTTAGAACATCAATTAGCGATTCTCAAATATTTTAAAATTATAATGTGTGCTGTCTACTAAGATTCAGTCTGATCGCTGTTAACATGGGTACTGCGTAAAGAAGTGTGATTATGTATCCTAAGAAAAAAATCGAAATATCACACCAGTTTCATTTTTTATTACTTTCACATAAATCCAGATCTAACGAATAAGTTTAAAATTCGACATACAAAATATGTTAGAGAAACACAAACAATTCTTCAATTTTGTTCTTGTAGCTTTAAAATTTATCATTGGCGCCCTGACTACATTTTAAGGAAAAGTAAAGGTGGCTATTATAAAACTGGTAAAAAAAATTGCTGTTGTTTACAATTAAATATAGCACAGAAGAACTACTGTGAATTAGCACCCATGCTGCTTAAAGATTTTCGCATCTAAAAGATATACTTTCATTTATATGAAAAGATGATGCATATTAACCACAAAAGAAGCATTTTGGTTTTAGAGTTATAGTCTAAATAAAAACAAATTTGGATGCTTTAAAGATATATTTACAAAAATTAAATGCTCTTTACACGAACTTTAAAAATCAGCCACTGATTTTAAAAACTGCATTTAATTTAATATTTTCCCGTTTATCACCATCCTCCGTGGCCGCCACCGTATCCTCCTCCTCCGCTGCCGCCACCTGTAATAACGGTGAGATGCTGAACCACTGGGACATGTTTAACAACTGGAACATGTTTGACAACTTTGACGTTTTTGACAACAGGAACATGATTGACTACTGGGACGTGTTTAATAACTGGTATTGTGAAAATATCTGCTCCTCCACCAAAACCTCCGTGGCCCCCACCTTGAGCAGAAATTAATCCACCATGTCCACCACCAATGCTGTGACTACCTAATTCTCCAATTTCGTGTGCAATAAGAACTTTCCCTCCTCCACCGTGACTGTGAATGATTCCTCCGTAAGTGAAAAAACTGAGAAGTAAAACGAATATAACTGTAAGCTGAAAGAAAACAAAATTAATTAGTACGCATGGAAAAAAAAGCTAATTTATTAAAAAATGTTTCATAAGTCAAATTTATTTAAAATACGAGTATCCAACTGAAACTTTCTACTGAAATCAAAAGAAACTCAAAATATTTCAATGAAATTTCAGGAGTAAATACGGATGATAAAAGTCCTTGGTATGGATGCTTAATGAATTTCTTGTTAGTAAAACAGCACTTGCAGTTGTATATGTGGCTAGCCCCGCGGAATTATATGTTATATATATTTTATGCGAATTCTACATGTACGAAACATTTTGTGCTTAAGTCTTTTGAAGCATAAGTAACGTCAGGAAGTTTGGACATATTACCCTACAGTTTCATACATAAAGTTAGACTTTTTATTTACAAAAATCTCCAACACACAATACTGAATTGTTTCCAATAAATTCCCTGTCTTGACTTTAGAAAGCTTGTAACTGGAATACACGGTCTGGGGTCAATAAGGAACTTAATAATTAATTTATGTCCTGTAATCTTTATTCTCTGAACACTCTGTATAGAGCAGCTGGGAGTCAGACGAATGAATTTTCCTCTCCGCACTCACATAGGCTCATATCTCACATCACATAGGCTTTTCATTAAGATGAGCTCTTCACATTATAGGAAGGTCAAAGTGTCAAGGCAACTACCAGTTTCGAATTGTGAGAATTTGCGATTGCTCTCTTTAGTGTATATAAATGTAAATATTGAATATAAATTTAACTTTTGTACAACTAACTCTGGAGTTAGTACAAACTATGCATTAAAATTTAAAGACTGTCGCTATTCTTTACGAAACACAAATCTGCTGCTGCACTCTACATAACATACCCGGCATGTAAAATAAAGTTTGGAGTTAGGAAAAGCAATATAAAATGCAGATGAAATCTGCTAAAAAAACAAAGCGGCTTCCATATCAAAACTGAATGAAGTCTGCGAATATCCAGCTTTACAAATTTGTTTGGTAAGACCCATGAGTATGGTGAGGTGCATGAAATTTAGCTGTTAGGAGGACGTGAAAGTGTCCTATCAAAGCTGAAAACTAAGCCATGAAGATACTGGCTTCGTATTGAAGGTTTTAGGTTCGATTTGCAGTAAGAGATAAAAATTTATTTATTTATAAGCAATGTGCTGTATAATATCCAACAAGAAAAGTAGTTGATAATTTTTATTAGATGTTGAATTTCATTACCACATAATGCGCAGCATTTCTCAAGCAACTATCAAGCACAGATTGCTATGTAAGACTTAGTGCTCTTATTTATTAAATTAAATACTTGATCATATTTTCATTTTATGCATGTAGTCTCTTCATCGTTCTAATACAGATATGTGTGCTGTATATAATGATGCGCGCAAGACGTGCTATATTTCAGCTTGAAGTACGATTACAATTCTAGTGCCAATATTTAATAAAAGTACTGCAGCTGTAGGGAAGTTTATTTTTTATTTGAAAGGTTGTAAGGATCCTAAATTTTACTAACGTTTATTTTGTTTTAAATCTTTACTATCACTTCTTATTTTCTACTTCCGGCCAGAATTAAAAGCTTTAACTTATTTTTGCAAATTTGTCTTGCTAACGCCAAGTACTTAAGTTGTGGCTTTTTGCCAAGCAAGAGAGAGGAAAGAGTTATTGCAAGCCGCTTGCCATAGTAGTTTTACTCGGTTGCTGGTTGCCTTCAAGGCTAGAGGTTTAGTCCTCTTGATAAGTTCAAACGTATCGTAGTTTTAGCAGCTCTCTGTACTACATACGGATTTTGTTAAATAACGGCCAATCTTAAAGCTAGGCACTTGTATATTAAGCCAAAGTTAGTTTTAGTTAGAGTTTTAGTTAATAGTTTTATATTCTTACGTTCAGACCACAAGTGGCTAGGTCTCTGTATTCCGAAGTTCCGGAAATCTCTGTAAAGATAGAAAAATAAAGGGTTTCGTATACCCTTCCTGTGTGTATTGTCTACTTCACAATTTATTGAACATAGCTTGAGTAAGCTCCCCTGTTCCGAGTCAGGACAGTTCATGTTTCCAAAGCAAGTTAAGAGGAACACAAGTCCTGATAAGGTATATATATTACATTCCAGAAACAAATAAATGTGCATAGCGGTAAATTCGAACATAAACATTTATAATTAGTTGCAATTTTGGTTACTTTCTTTCTAGATGGATCTGTAAAAACATGGAGCTTCAAGACTGAGATAGTTTTAATGGATTTACGGCTTATGCTCTATATTGCTGCTGTTGCAAAACTATGGATTCTAAATAACAGGGAGAAGAAAGGGGCATATCTTAACGCAATTCTGCAATGATGTGGAAATAACGTTTTTACCAGGAAAAGATGGTTGCTCACTATATCAACTGCGCAACATCAAAGTTAAAATCTAGACCAAGGGTTATCAACCAGGGGCAAATTCACACCTCGAGGGAATTTCCTAGTTTCATGGGGAGAATACGGTCTGTCCTTTATTTAGTTGCTAAGTATTTAGTTTTAACTTATGAATATAAAAGACTACTTTTTAAGTAGTTAGAAAGTTCTGGTATTTATCAACATTTTCTACACTTTTTGTTGTTTAATTTATAAAACACGTTAAAAATGATCTAACAGAGATAAATGCATATATTTATTTTTCGAGTTCTGGAAAGGAAGGGAATGGTCTAGCGATGGTGAAAGAAGTGCATGAGGCAAAAAAAGGTTGAGTACCATTAAAAAAAAGTTTGAGAATCTTTCTTGCCCCGCGTACACCTGATCTAGACTATTTACCATCAGGTGGTCAAAAATATATTTTTAAAGACATTATCTGGTTTCTGCAAGAATTATGCTATCAAAGGATGAAAGGATAGTTACCTTCACACATAACTTTGCCCAGGAAGACGATAAGAGATTTAAAGCTACATTAGCTATACAATTTACCATTGCTTTACGTTAGATATACCAGATACTACATATATGCTTTCAGAGTCGTAGCTAGGGTTTTCAGCGCCCAGGGACAACTGAAGATTCCGCGGCCCCTACTGCTTGCCAAGGATGGAAAACATTTAATTCTAAAATGTCGTAACATTGGTTTGGCGCCTCTTGGATTCTGCGCCCGGGGACAGATGCCCCCCTTGCCCCCTCTAGCTACGCCCCTGTATGCTTTAGCTAAACTGCATCGCAATCTAAAACAAAGAGGGTACTAAAACTAATGTTTTGGGGAAAAACTAGTAAAATATACTTTTTTCTAATTAATCTTGTAGGAAAGCTTATGTTAATTAATCAGCTATTTATAATTTTAGTCTATGACATTTCCTTTCTGTATTGCTCAACAGAACGCAAGTGAACATCGAGTGTTTAAACAGCGGCTTTTGATTTTGAGAAAGAGCAGTTTTCTGGCCTCGCGGACTCGCTACGTAGTTTCTCGTCAGCTGTAGGTTCAGTTATTCGGCTTTGCATTCTTTCGTTGCTGGCACTTTAATTCTGACACACTTGTAGCGTTAGTTGAGTGAGCATCTAGTAGTAACTAATTGTGCAGTCCTTGACTACTTACTGTTCAACGATAGATTTAATTTGGACAATTCTGTTTTATTTTGCATTTCAATGAGTTGTGGAAAGTGTAGCACAAGAGTGTGCCTTTAGTTTTTAAATTCTGGTTATATGAAAAGCTACTTTAGCCTTTTCAGGACTTTAGCTTTGTTTTTAGACATAGAGATAATTCACCTCACGTCTGTTAGGGTTATTAGAATAAAATAGTATTTCCAGATCAAGTACAATCCTATAACCTTAAAACAAATATGCAATTGTTCTCTTGATTCCCTTCTAGAGTACAGTTAATTTGTCAAACTTCTTGTGGTAGACGATATTTCGTAGTCAAAAAACTGAAATGTGGTAGACGATATTTCGTCGTCAACTTTATTTGACAGATTAGATATTATCTGCTTCTGTTCATCTTTTAGCTAGGAAAGTGTTTGAAGAATTAAAGATATTCTCCGCTTGTGCTTCATGATCAGCGCACCTAACCGGCAAATGGAAGACTTGGATTCCATTCCCGATGGGAATCCATTTGACTTTTCGGTACAACTCTAATATACGCCCTAATTTCACCAAATGTGGCGATATGTGTTCTGCGCTGGTTTTTGGCACGATTGCGTGTTCTATGGCAACCCTGTTGACGTTGAAAAATCTTTCGCTGGAGCTCGTTGATTCGCCTCTGTGTCTGAGAAGATGGGAGGGAAAGATAAAATGGTAGTTGTTGAATTGAAGTTCGGCAAAAGGAAATATCATTGTGGCTATCCTGTTGAGGGGTAGTGGGTATTTGGAAGTGTGGAAAGAGGGTCTGGGAGATTATTTTTTAATGGCAGTGCATGATAGAAGTAGGGATTTGTGATTTTATTTATTTGTGAACCATAGTATAAATTTTCTGGATAGTGTGTCTGGCTGTCATGTAAATACGATAGTGATTACGTGGCGGAATGTTAAAGGCGGTATGAAATTATTATTTCTGCTATTCGAAAACGCATTAATTCATGGTAAGTGCATTTTATTTTATCCTTGTTCTTATTTTGTAGAATGTTATGTTCATTGGTTCTTTAGTATGAATTTCTGTCGTTATTGTTGTTTTTTTAAATTGTTTGAAATTTACTTTAGTTTATTTTGTTGTTTAGTGTCTAGACTGTGCAATTCGTAGATGTTTTTTATAGTTGAAACAGAACGCTGTGTACATGGTATTATTTGAAATTTATTGTTATGTTATTTTATTAAAGCGAGGAGTGCGTAGATCGTAGATTCCTTCCTTGCCTAAATTGTGCAATTCGTAGAATTTTTTTTAAGTTTAAACAGGATGCTGTGTACATGGTATTCTTTGAAATTTATTGTTGTTATGTTAATTTATTAAAGCGATGTGTGCGTAGTTTGTAGATTCGTTCGTTGCCTACATTGTGCCATTCGTAGATGTTTTTTTAAGTTAAAACATGTCGCTGTGTACATGGATTCTTGTCAAATATTTTTGGTTAGAAACTTTACGTTTTTGCTATCTAAATTTTTTGTTTTTGGATTTTTAGCTAAATTGTATGTTGAAAACGTAGTTTTTGCATGTGCGAAAACCGAGTTTTTGGAGACATTTTAGGCTAAAAGTTCGAAATGTAGACAAAAAATTTAGATAGTAATATGGCAGCGTGAAGTTTCTCGCCAAAAATATTTGGTGCGAAATTTGGCGACTTGAGGGCGCATATCAGAGTAGTTCCGAATTTTCAAGACTACCTACCTTAGAAAATAATATTAATAATTAAAATAATTCTGAAGTAAAACTTAAATACTCCGCGCTATTATGAAACACTACCACGAACAATGAAAAGTGAATAATTTGTGAAACAAGGAACTCTGAACCAGTTTAACCCTTAGCGCTCCGCACGTTTTTGTACCACTGCCTACCAGCAACTCCGGCACATTTTCGCAGCGGAATGCAGCATCCAGAATATCTGCATAAATATCTTTCTTGTAAATATTTTACCAAAGAAGGGGTGTGACTATTCTCCTTAACTGACCAATAATCCTGCATATTCGCCACGGGTATCGAACCCACATTAATAATAACTCCAATAAAAGCCCAAAACTCATCCTCTTCCACCGCACGCCACGTTTTCCAAATAGAATTACTGGATATTTCTTTATTCTTTAGAACATTTTCTGCGTAATTGTTGGTTTCTTTTATAATTTCATTTACCAGTTCGTTTGTGAAAAATAATTTGAAATATTGTGTCGGCTGTACAATATTTGCAGGAATTTGTGGTCCAATGACCTGTGGAGATACACTAAAATGTATTCTATCTGGAATATCTAATTCTTCCGTCACATCGCGCCATTCATCTAAGTCTTCCGGCGACTCTTCGCTTTCAGTTTCAATAACTACCATTCGTCGTCTCTTTGGTAGTATAATTTCGGAACCACTACTTGAAGTGTCAGAATTATAATTAACATTGTCTTCCACAATATCTTCTAACAATGAAAAATCAAACACATCTTCACTATCACTCAACTCTATATTCTCACCACAATAATCATTTTTCTCCATGTTGCTAACCATAAAATGGGTCAAATAATGCTTCAATCGTAACAGTAGCGAGACTGAGCACGTTTAACTACAGATAACAATTGCCAACGCCGACGATTTCGTAATATCTTAAGCCTAATCATGCTAAAAACATTGGGCTCCGCAGCGAAGCCTACGGAGTTACGGAACAAATGACGGACGGCTCCATAGCTGAGCCAAAGGAGCGCTAAGGCTTAAGATAAGAGATTATCGAATGCCAATTTTTTTTTCAAACACAGCTTTACGCAACACTATGCGAGGTATTAATGTTAACCAAATTAAAAAGCTTTGAACATACGAAACATTTGAGAAATTTGTTGGAGCCTTTATGCTCCAACTTTCGCCAGAAAAAGTGAGAATAAAGCTTAAAAGAAATTCCTCTTTCCTCCCACAGTCAATTCAGAATTACATGCCTGTAGAAATTCTAAGGAATTTACGCATTCTGAATGCTGATTGCAGAAGAAAGGTCAATCAGCTGAAGTTGTTAAATCGTAGAAATAAGTCAGAACACAACAACAATATTGAAGTTACGCAAACTTAAAAGATGTCACACCTCATTTTAAGCAATACTCACGAAAGATTTCTATTTATTTGCCACTGTATAATGTTCTGTTTAATATAGCTTAATATAAGTACCTCAATGAGAAATACTTTTTTATTTTTACGTTGTTGAAGAATAAAGCCCAAGACTCATGGTACTTTTTTTTTTTTTTTTTACAAAATTTTAAGTATTGGTTGGCCTGAATGTGACTGCACTCTTTCTTGTCGTCTATCTTTGCGAGTATTTTGAATGTAATTATAGGTATATTGAAAACATTTGATGTGTCTTTGTTATTGAAACTTCCGGAGAAAGCAAATATTATATTAGTTAATAGCGTTTCTTTTTTGAACTTGCGTTACAAAACGCGATTTTTTAATCGAAAGCATTTTTAATTATTATCTCACTTTAGTTATAGATGTGACAGAGCTATAAAATCAAACAAAATGAAACTCTAGATATGTAGGATTTGGAACTTTACTAAACCTCTTTTTTTCCGTAATCCTCACGAAAATACAAATTAGTTGTAGGGTATTTAAGCCGAGGTATTTAAGCCCGTAATCATTTGAATGATTTAGAGCTCCTGGCAGATTCGCTTGCAGTTCACATCCTATCGCCAGCTCTGCTAAAATTTACTTTTCCAATTAGGCCATTTTATTAGCCAACGTTGAATACGTGCCGTTAATTACTCGAGCCAGCTTAAGGAAATCACCCGACGTAGTTTCCTGCTACGTTACTTGAATTTAACTTCATCTTATGTTATTATAAAAAAAAATATTCGCACGTATCAGAGCTATATTAGGTAGCACAAGAGGTGCCTTTTGTTAATTAAAGAGTTCAATAAAAAGGTTATTTTAATCTTCGTAAGACTTTGTCATCTTAGTTCAGACTAGAGCGATAACTCACATGTCAGTCTAGCAGGGCCTGAAGAACATTCATTTAAGCTTCTGTGGAAGCAGTACCCTACAGACAAGCATTTGATGTACAGGAAAAATTATGTATCTTGAAAGAAGGTCATCTCTTCTTCAACCCATTTCTGCCCTTTCTTAGCGGAATTCTCATTTCTTACATAAACAAAATAAAAATAAATGAATGGATAAATAAGAAAGCAGATTTTACGATGCCAAATATTAAAGAAAATCTATAAAATCAAGACCAATCTGAAGATGGACTTTTCTTAAATTTTAAATGCTGTCGTATTGTTTGATATAGCGATTTAAATACAATTTTTTAAAGGTTAATGCTATCTGCTGAGTATTAGGAAGTACTACCTAAAATGAAAAATGAATAGTTTAATGATTTTAAAAATTCTACTATAAATAATTTTTATAAGGCCATTAAAATTATTATCGAATCTCTAAGTATTTAATTTTCAGCATTTCGACACTGAATTGATATAGCTACAACAGATGTGATAGAAGAAGGCTTTAAACTTTAAGGTTAGATGAAATTCGGCTTATAAATTTGCTTTATTTTTAGGTAAGAGTAACTATATTTTATAACTTTATTTCACAGTTTTATCGAATGAACAATGAACAACTATGACAGTTAATCAAAAATAGTAAATTAACACTTCATACTTTCAAAACGAGCAAGAAAGACAGATTTCGAATGAAATTTAATGCATTTTAAAATTATGCTAAAGAAGGAAAAATATTTATAAATAATTATTATATTCTTTAATTATATATTATTTTTAAAATTTAGAAAATATTCAACGTAACTCCCACTTTAAAGATGAAGTATTGATTTCCAAAATGTTAGAGGCTATTTGATTGAAATATACAGAGGATATTCTACAAGTATATAAATGGACCAAACAAAGATTTCAAAGCATTTTATGTGTGTTTATTGTCTTAAATGTAAGATACGCGCACAGAAGAAAGCTTGAACCTATTTTATTTTTCTGTAAATGTAATGCTAATGTAGAAAAAAAGGCTATCAGATATTGAACCAAGAGTCACTGCTCTTCATTTAAAGTATAGGAGTTAAGTAAGTCCAGTGACAATGTTAGTACAGAAATTCTGACTAGTTATTTGATTAAAAATGTCAGGGAATTACATAGAAGTAATATTTCTTTGAGAAAAAGCGATTAAACTAGTTAATGAAGTTATATGTGTGATTATTTAAAATAGATATCTAATAACAAGAGTATATTCTGACTAATTACAGTTTCTGTTACGATGCGTAACAGCTATACGTAAAAAAAAAATTCACAAAATCAACCAGTTTTCTAAAAAAATACAAATAAAATTAATTTGCTTACCCACTTCATTTTGCCTTCCTTTCGTATATCCGCATTAGACAGAGCAACAAAGTAATATGTGAGTTAACAACACCCCTATGTGAAGATTTAAAGATTACACTTTCGCTTTTTATACTTATAAACACAGGCAGGGGCATTCTAGGTATATTAAATGACCCATATCTAATCCCTTTTAAGATGTCTTCCGCATGATCTCCGGCTGATACGATCATATCTTCTAATCTTTTCTGTTTTCACATCCTCAGGTTCTTAGAATAAAATACTTCAAGAGAAGTAAAAGTATTAAATCGAGCACCTCCCATTAGTATGCTGTTTCTTTTAGAAATGGTAAATGATGATATAATAAATGTGGTCATCATCAGTGACGGAAGCAAATTCAAATAACCAACTGGCCTAATTTATTCCTGTTTCCCTCCCTCCACTACAGCAGAGGACAAATAAAAGTCTTATGATATCTGATTTCCAGGAGATAATAATGCTGTTAATAATGTCTCAATGCTGTTATCCGCAGTTTCCTTCTCCTTTTTTTATTTTCCGTAGGTAGTTTTTCTATGTTTATAGATTGTGGTAGTACTTTTTCTATCGTTCATCAATAAAGAAACATAACGCTTTTCAAGTTAATCTGCAAGCCAGTTAATCGGAAGATAATTGAATACTATTTTAGCTCTATCTTCAAGACGAAACAGCAGTGAAGAAGTGCTGTACTGTAAATTAAAATACACCGTTTTAAAAGGAGACAGAAAAAGAAGACTTTCTGTCTGAGTTATTGAAACAAAAATTACAGACAAGTAATTCTTTAAAATCCGAATATGAGTAAATTTCTCGTAAGGTTCACACTCTGTTAAATTGTATATGCATAGTATTCACAAATTCAGGGCCGTTCCTAGGCCATTGGCTGTCCGCGTACTTTCCTAAGATTGCGCGCCCCCAGACTTAAAAAAAAATGTGCTCAGTGATTAATAAAATTTTTATTTCATGCTCCCTAAGTACTTACATATGGCAAACTATGTAAAACGTATAATTACATATGACAAGTACTTAAATGACTTTAAAATATTTAGGCGCGGTATCGCGAGAATCCGGCCGCTCCTGATTTTCGCCGCCTGCGTACCCCCCGCTAGGAACGTCCTGAACAAACTTATGATATTAATAACATAAATATGTACCTTGTGCAGGATTTATATCAGCTTAAAGGATATATTTTCATATAGCACTGCCAATTTGCTCTCTTTAACATCATCATCTAGTGTAGCTAGAGAAAACTGTTTTATTTCTTTTCTAAATTCTGTTTCCAGTTCGAAACTCATAAGATTTAAATATCTTCCTATCAGAATATTCAGCGCACACATAATAGATATTTGGATATTATTAATTCTATAAAATTTCATTAAATTTATGTACCCTAAACAGACATCAATACTCGATAGTTTCGACTGTGAAATTAATCTTTGTTCAGGCTCTTTGCCCCCCTGTGGGTAAAAGGTATTTTTGTACAAAGTTATGTTTCAGCTCTCGAAATAAAACAATTTTCAATATGAAATATTATCAATTAAAATATTTCTTTATTAGATTTATACGTCTAAGATGCATGAGTGCTAAAAACAGAACGTCCAAAAAATTCAATCATCACGAAGATATTGCAATGCAATATATTTTGAACTTTGAATGTAGATGTCATTTATTACGTGTTTATCCTGCAAATTTTATAGCCGTCTTAAAATTGTTAATTAAATAATTTGTATGTAAATTCTCCGTAGCATCATTTTTATAAATATCCCTAATAAATCATAAAATACAGGACATTTTAAATCACAAATATTTTTTTTATTAATTTTAGCTCTCAGAAATTTTTGCCCTAGAAGGTACAGATGCGTATAAACTTAAAATGTTTAGTATATACAGTGTTACCATTGTTTATGAAAGATAATCCAAGACATTTTGTGAAAAGTTCATTTCAATGTTAAAAGTTAATAGTTCTAAATTATACAGCCTTGCACCTTGCACGGCAGATAAAAAGTTGGTAGGAAAAAATTAAATTAAATTAAAATGCAAGGCGCTCCCTCAATAAAACATTGAAAATTATACCGCATTATATTCTGCAATAAATTTGTTAGGAAACAATATCTGCTGGGAAACTACTCACTAACATCCTGAAAATTGCCAGATTTTATCCGAAACATATACGTTGTACTGTAAGTATTATGAAAGTTTCTTGAGATTCTCTCCCTTTCTGCTATAAATCAATATCTACTTTTATAACCACTCATTTAAAAACTTTGTGCTTACTCCAGTCTAGTACATAGCTACCTCCCTCGTACTACGAATCCAGCAGGACTGTCTGGGCTTAACTTTCATGTCAATCTCGGAATTCTAAATATAAAGCAGCATTTGAAAATAAATCAGTTACTTTGATATTTTATAAATATTTTAATTTTATGTAAGACGTCAGCATACTGAAGGGTTTGAGAAGATTTATTTAAATACTGATACGAAGTGTTTATTACTTTCGTAAAATAATTTTTGTTGATATTTGAGTTTCTATGGTTGAAAGAAGACATATGGTGAATAATGAGCCCTGACGTGCTGTCGGAATCATTGAAGTAGGAAAGTCAATTAAAGATATCAATTTTTTCTTTGGCGTTGATGATTGGGTAATTTCTAGAATGGGGAAACAATTCCAAACAAGTCAGACAGCTGTCCGGAAACCTGTGCCGGTCAACCTAGGGTTGCCACTATTTTGAAGATCGATATATTGCAGATCGGAGTCATTGTCAATTACCAAATTGAGAAAAAAAAATTACAACTCATATCAATAAAATCCTTAGCTCTTGAAAACAATCAGACTCAATTCAAAAAACAAGTTAATACCAATTTAAATTAGAAACCATTTTAAATTAGAAACTAATCAGTAAAAAAATTAAATACTAATTTAAATTAGTTAACAAGTTACCATCACCTCTGCAGCGCTGTAGTTGGCTCTCAGTTCATTTTTATGTACAAGAACGCTCCAATTAGGGATAATCTGGTGAAAGGTTTTTCTCGAAAATGAGGGTATTAACCGGATGGCTAGGTACATCTCCAGACCTAAACCTGAATAAACATGTATGGTATACTTTGGAGGGTCATTACAACTCTTCTGTGCCTTTCCTCAACTCTTCAGCACCTGGAAGCATCGCTGCTGCAGAAGTGGGATCGACTGTCACAGGAACTCATAACCTATCTCATTTCCAGTGAGAACTGTATGTTTATTATAGTGGGGACTATATCCCTTATTAGCCTCGTCTGTTGTTTGATCTTGTAATGTTCGCTTTAGAAATTACTCCGCTGATGAGCCTTACTCACGATCATGCGTGAGTACTGTGACTATTGTAATATATATTTTTTGTATTATGTCAATCTATGTCCATTCTAACTTTCATAAAAATGTGTTCATTAGTTCTGGAGATAATAAAATCAAAAGTGAAAATTCTTTAAATTTTGAACACCGATGTATATGCTCGTTCTCTCTACAAAAATGTAAGTAATTTGTAACTCTGTAAACTTATGACGCATCTCCAGCAGAATATTTTCGAGTAGTTGAGGATTCTTGCAGAACAATGCAAAATAATCTGCTTTTGGGTGTGTATTGCAATTTGATGGAAACTCAAAATGAACCAAAAGATTTGTGAAATCAATAATGCATTTTTTTATAATAGCTTCGAGCAAACCTAGACATTTTAATTATATTTTAAATATAGACTTTTGAAACAAAAATCACAAAAACTGCTATAAATACCTCGCATAGTGCGGCTTCACTCAGTGCTGACCCCGCTATAGTACGATTAGTAATTTGTGCAATAAATTTCACTCAGCACTGATTGATTCACTATTGTGTGGTCGAAAAGATTTTGCGTCAAAATAATACAGCCTAAATGTTCCCGCTAAAATATGCACTGCCAAAATAAAGGGTGCTGTTTGGTCCTGCACTTTTTCCGAGAGACGTGGCAGACTCAACGAACTAACCTTCTCTCTAAAATAGCCATATCGCATCATCATTTGTTATTGTCACCATCTGTTTCACATCAGTTTTTAATTTTTATTTATAATTCATTCCAAACCCATTTATAATGAACGAGAAGCGAAAATCTGATACTAGTTGCGATAAACCATGAAATTACTGAATTTACAAGAAACGTTAGAAATTATTAAAACTTATGAGGACAATGCATCATATGCCAAGATTTTAAGAGATAAAAAATAAAAAATAAGTGAGTCTTCAGCTCGAAAGATTGTGAAAGATGAACAAAAATATAAGGAGTGGGGAATGGCTAGAAATTCATTTGTTTCTAAGAAAATTGTAAGACGAAGAAGTTCTATGATGTTATATATGGAAAGAAATCTTTCACTTTGGATGTAGCCAAAAATGAAATCTTTAGTCAGCTAGAAGTTAAAAAGCATTAAGTCCTTATCTACACTTAAAAAAAAAGGTCTGAAAACAAAACTGATGAAAATTTTCCAGCAAGCCGTGAGCGGTTCTTTTGCTTTCAAATCACTCGGGGATACATAATGTTCGAATTGTGGCTGAAAGAGAAAGTGCAGATAAAGAAGCAGCATCAAAATTCCCAGAAAAAATAAAACAAATTATTGAAGAAAAAGGCTATCTTAATGAACAAATTTTAACGTGGACGAAACTAGTTTACACTGGAAGAAGCTGCCTTCTAGAACTTATTCGTCAGAAAAAGAGCAATCTCTGGCTGTAAAGTATCTCATAGGGTTAAATAACCTTATTGTTAGGAGGAAATGCATCTGGTGATATCAAACTGAAGTCCATGCTTGTGTATCGCTCTGAAAACGCTAACGATTTAAAAAGATGTGCTAAAAACTTATTACCTGTGCTTTGGCTTTCTAATAAGAAAGGTTGGGTTACTAAAGCAGAGTCTGAAAGTTAATTTAAAGATTACTTTTGTCCCTTTGTTAAAAGTTATGGTAAAAAACAAAACATAGCCTTTAAAGCATTATTGTTAATAAATAATCCGACAGGTCATCCTACTAGAATTTCTAATCTTTGTATTAATGTCAGAATTTATTTTTCTCCCAAATACTACCTCCGTGCTACAACCTATAGCTCAGGGAGTTATTTCAACATTCAAGGTATTTTATTTGAGAAGGCTGCTTTCACAGGCAATCGAAGCAGGCGAAAACGTCCTATTTTTGATCACATTTTTGGAAAAATTGCAGTTTCCGAAATGCTATTGGATTGGATTGGATTGGATTATCTAATTATGGCAAAGCACACGAGGGCTATCTGCCTAAAGGGAGGGAGGCCTTCGTGGAGGAATTTCTAAGGGAAACTGGCTCGTATACCCGTTACACTTGGGGAAAACCACGAAAACGCACATGCAGCCAGCCCATTCGCGGGCTTCGAACCTCGGACCGAA